AATAAACATGATGTTACAAGTTGAAATGCCTTTGACTGAAGTATATAAAAATGTAGCTGAAAGAAAAGAGACTTCAGCCCCTCAGCCCCTCCTACCCTCTCCCAGGGGAGTTTTAGAGTTGAGCTGAGGAGGGGTGAGAAGTCTCAGATTGAAATTTCAAGGTCTTCAAACATTTTTAATATTCATGCTCAAGCCTATTAAAAAAAAGTAACAACCGGGTATTAATGCTAATAAAATCCTTGTGTGTGTGGCTTCCAGTTTTAATCACAGTTTTCACATTTGGAGTGGGATATGTAATATTGATAAAAGAAAAAAAGAATCTTAAAACAGAAGAAATACTCATCAGGGAATCATGACGGTAATTTATTAAAATAAATTGTGCCAACAAGGAAAAAAAAGTATATTTTAAAATATTTTCATTCGAGTAGAGCCATTTCTGGTCATCTGAATGAGGGAACAATGTACAGAAGAGTTAAGTACAATAGCAAAGATTTTTATAACTTTACTTGACAAACTGTCTTAAATTCTATAATAAACAGTTAATTCCCCTCACTTGAAATAATGTCCACCAAGATGCTCATATACGCAACTGGCATTTTTTTTTTCTCATAGCCTAGACCCTGCGAGATTAAAAAAATAATAATAAAATAGTGCGGTTATTATTATTGAAGCTTTTTACAGACTAAATGCTGAAGTCTTCGGCACATTATTTCTAAATTTTATCTGACTGTATTCGCTTGTGCAATAGTCAACAATATAATTCCGCGGTTGCATTTCTTCCAAAATACATGTGGGACCACAAGACCATTCAAATACATTCATTTTAGAATAAGTCCTGGTCAACCCGTGGCATCATTCACAATGGAAAATACAAGCCCCCTTCAATGGACTAAGAATTATAAAGAACAACAAGGAAGACCTTAAGCTTTTCTTAATTTCATTTAAAGGGGTTAGGGAGGAGGCAGCCACACATTTCTTTATAAAGTTCCACTAGGCTTTGGTGTTGCAAAGTAATTGTATTTTCCAGAACATTGAAACCAAACCGGCATGCAAACTATCTTTCTGTTGTTGTTGTTGTTGGCTTTTTAAGGCATTCACATTTCTTGAGCAGAGGTCAACTCCTATAATCTCTCAGACACTGGCTTTCATTTGGCCGATCTAAATCGTGTCAAGTGATAGAATAAATGTAACGGTGAAGATAAAACCTAGCAGATGCCAGAAATAGCTCAACAGGAGGAACTCCAACACCCCAAAAGGCACCAGAACAGTGGTTTTCAAGGAAGGGTACCAAACAAGGCCCTCAAACTCTCTTCCATCTACTGATTAATTTCTTGGCTAGTCAACATGAGTTTATTGAGGACCTACTTGGTTCCAAGAACTGTTTTAAACTCCATCTTTAAACAAGATTTCTCCACCCATTATTTCCTGCTGCTTTCAGTTCTTCTTGTTCAGTGCAGCCTAATGGGTTCTGACTCATAGCAACCCTGTATAGGGTTTCCGAGGAACTGCTGGTGAGTCTGAACCACCGACCTTGAGGTCAAACTGACCTTGCGGTCCATTGTATTATCCTGTGGCTCAAGCACTCTTTGTGAACTTGAACTAAATCCTGTGAGTTAAGAAATCCTTTCTGTGCCTTTTATTAGAATCCAAATACTTGGACCTAGGAAAGAAAACCAGAATTTTTGCAGAATCAAAGTTTTATTTTCAAATTGAAAAGGCCTCTGCAGGTAATTTGCAGGTTAGGAGCAGGTTAGTTTGGGAGCAACAGAGATGAGTTAGACACTTGGCTTCTGAAGGGAATAGTTTAATGTGTTGGGAGCAACACATTAATCCCCAGGAGAGAATTCCTGAATGTCAGGCACACAGAAGAAAGGTGTGTAGTACACAAGGCAGGTGAGCATTGTGGTTCTTTTCTACTTTCCTTCCATGAGAAGGAGGTTTCTAGAAAATGTCTCTAAACTTGATTCACTGTTCACGCATCAGAAACTGATTTGCTGCTCTTCTTTTTCAGACAAGTCTATGTTCACAAATTCAAACAGGAATGGAGAGCTAGAGGTATGTGTGTGGTATAGTGGTGGTATTAAGTGCTCTAGAGTCAGTTCTGACTCATAAAGGCCCTATATAGGATTTCTGGGGAGCAGACCTTGCAGTTAGTTGTCCAGTGCTCACTGGTGGTGGAGGTGGTGTGCCTTGAAGTCAGTCCTGACTCATAGTGACCCTGTATAGGGGTTCTGAGGTTGTAAATCATTACAGTGGCAGAAAGCCTCATCTTTCTCCCATGGAACAGTTGGTAGTTTCAAACTTCTGACCTTGAGGTTAGCAGCCACTCATAACCACTAGGCTATGAGAGATCCTTAGAGCTCATAGTGCAGAATACTATGCACTATGGGAGTGAGCACCAGGAGAGAGGGAGAAAAAAAGAACCAATTCTCTACCAATAGTGGGATGCACTAGCTATTCCAAAATTAACGGCTAAACAATTTATTTGACTTTTTGTGTGAATAGATTAGTAACTCCTATGGGGTCCCATTGTATTTTATTTCAACCAATCCCTTTATGGGACTTAGTACTGAATTTTATCAAAAAATAATAATTGTTGGTAAAGGCACAGTGTAACTTTTCTGTGAAAAGTGATTGTTATTTTTCCTCAGTACTTTCCAATCACACATCATGCACAATATTGAACAATGTATATTCATTTTTCAGTCTCCTGGGAGCAATGAACTCATTCTCTTTTTTTTTCCCATATGAAATAAAAACACATGTATGTCATGGGATTCATAATATCATGTACAACTTGGTCAAAAAAAAATACCCAGAGTAAGTGTCAAGACAATTACTGGAATAATTATAAAGAAAAACATCTAACATCTAAGTAAGAGGTGGAAAGGTTTGGGGCATGTATGTTTATGGGCACCACTAGGACACAGCGAGAAATAGTTCCTGGTTTTATGGTCACAGTTAGAAAGGTTTAAAAGAATCATCAGAAATTGTCGCAGCAAGTGCTCCTCTCCTGGTTCTTGAGCTAAGAAACAGTGTTTTCTATTCAGAGAAAAATCTTTACAAGTAATACCCCATAATCCAAAAGTTAAGAGTTCCCAAGTTTAACTCTCACAAAAAATAATGTGTCATTGTGAAACCACATACTATTAATGGGAGGCTTGTCAAAGATCTTTTCTCAAATGTAAAACAAACAAAGGGACTTGACTCTACCCTGAGGAGTTTTAATGAGTGACAGGGCAAGGCAAGTCTCACAGAGGCATGGCCAAGGTCAGAAGCGGCCAAGTTGTCAGCGAGGTGCACAGGTGAAAGAGATCAGGAGTCTTCCTGAGTTCCTAACGGTACGAGCTTCTTAGAGAATGCCTCAAAAAACTTTCTAAAACGTCAGCTGGACACAGATTATTTTTTAATTCTGTTGCAGAACAAGAATTGAGTCACAGTGGCCTCTAATCTATTATAAAAATCATACTTTAAATAGCATATTTATAACTCTGTATTGTAATTGATGGGTGCCTGAACCAGAAGACAGTTTCTACCCTCCTAATTCAGAAAGCTGGCAACTTCAACCAATAGTTTTTTGAGGGAGTTTAAGTTTCCAACATACAGGGGCACAGATCTGAATGAGACAAACACACACAAGAACACACATAAATATCATTTACTTCCAAGAGCTCACCGCCCTAAGCAAACTAGAAGTAACCCTTCCATAGAAGCTTCTATAGCTTCTGTGGATAGCAATACAGATAAATTAGAGTTAACATCTCTGGTGCATTAACATGTAAAGAAAATGGCAGTGATACAAACAGCTTGGTTTAAAAAAAATCAGTCCTTCTCTAGAATTTAGCCAATCAGAAAGCAGGTCACATCTTGTTAGCTGCATTAAATACATTAAGCGTCATGAATTCTCCATGGCTCACTTGACAATTCCAGCATGTGTATTTTCTTTTCTAATGCATCCTCAATTGCTTCCCTTTTCAGAGTTGAGAGTCAATAATCCATCTGCAATTCCACCACAGCTAGTCTCTAAAAAACTCTTTTGCCATACACGCTCCTGGCATTTGCAGTCTGCAGAAAAGACTAAATTCCACTTTTCAGGAGACTTGGGAGCTCCCACAACAAACTCTTTTTCAGAACACTTCAACATAAAGCCCCAACTTCCAGGCACCTGGAAACCCAGTAGTAAGACCTGCCAGCTAAGCTAGTACAACATAAAAGTCAGCTGACATTAAAGATTTAAATGGCAGGAGGCAAGTCTAGAGTTTTGCCTTTAGAAAGTTCCAAAAGTCTTGTCTGCCTTCTACTCCCAGACTTTGCTCTCTTAGGAGGCTGAGTTCCCTCTCAGGCAGGCACACAATCACAAGTATGCAAAAACTAGAGCTCACTCAAATGCTGATTCAACTCCAGACAAAGGTAGGAGCTCCCTAGGAGGTAACCACCACAGGAGTCTTGTCAGGACCCCTCTGGTCCAAGGCGGCTGAAATTCACAAGGAAATTCACAAACATGTGTCCCTCCAGGGCTAGTTCTAAAAGTAAGCAGCGTGACTCTTCTCTCCCTAAACCTCGATTTTGATGACTTGGGAAAAGCAAATGCAAGTCACAGCAGACCTCCTCCTCCGGGATTTGCTAAAATATACATATATTTTTTTTCTGATGCAAATGATCACAAAAATCTCTTGCAATTCCATCTCAACAAACACAACAGGCGCAACTCAGAACCTAGAATTCCCCCAGTCCCGGGAAAGCACTGTTACTAGAGACCGGGCTGGAGGATCCAGTGGTGGTACTGTCTATTTCAGGATTCCGGCAGAAACTGTCCCCTTGCTCCAAGAGTTGCTGAGCCTGGAAGCTCGGGCGTTCAAACTAGTAGCTCCTTCCCATGTCCGCGGTAGTACCTAGTGGGACACTTTCCATCGCATTCCACCTGAAACCCTAGGACAAGCCCATGCACAGTTGAGAAACACACACACACACAAACACACGCCCAAGGCTAGAGAACTTACCTCTGTACGAGACTGCAGTCGCTTGTTCATCTCATAGATTCGGTACTCTGGCTGTACCATGTAAGGTGTATGTCTCCTATAAAATGGGCCGAAAGGAGAAGAATAGAAGGGGTCATGTGGCGTGCTGGACATCTTGCCTGCTTGTCGAGAATCAAGCTCAACAGAGTAGCAGGAATGTCCATGCAGAGCACATGGGCTGTGTTCTTCGCAGTACAAAGTAGACGCACGCACACACGCTCTCTCTCTCTTTCTCACACACACACACACACACACACATAGAGCAGGCAAGCAGGCAGGCAGCCTGAGCACGCTGGCTGGGAACTGCTGTGGGGGCCCTCAGTAGCGAGAGAGGAGAGGGAGAGCGGGAGAGGAGGGAGGGAGGAGGGAGAGAGCTCAGGAGAGGAGGCAGGGAGGAGGGAGCTCCAGAGAGGGAGGGAGGGAGGCTGGTAGGGAGGAAGGGAAGGAAGGAGGGAGACCGACACTGGATAGCTTTAGGCACCACTGCTTGTTTTTAAAGAAGCGGTTTGTGGAGAGGTTATTTCCTGTCCACACTGGAAAACTAGTTCACTAATATAATTCTGCTCACAGTCTGACAGAGGTCTAAGGTTTGGGTTGCATTTTTTTCCCTCCAGCCAGGACCCTTCACAACCTGATTGCTAAGCTTGTTAGCATAGAGGTGGTTTAACCGCTGCCTGAGCCGCTCCCGCACCCCCTTACAGCCACACCATTGTCATGTATCAGAAATGTGATTACTACAAAACACAGAAGCACATTGGAGACCCCTGGACTCTGTCATATGCAAAGATTGCTCTCCCAACACACTGATGCTCCCATGGAGTTTTGGCTTTACTTGCTTATTATCTTCTTTGTATTTGGAACCTTTCTCACAGGGGCCCTAGCCCTGCCCCTTCACACCTTACCTCAGGAGACTTCCTTCAAGCTCTCTAAAGGAGGTTTCAGGGGACCTGGATTCAGGTTACCATGGCATACTCAGGTGAAAACTATTTTTCTGAAAGTTGTTGTTGTTAAGTGCCTTTGAGTGTACTCCGACCCATAGCGACCCTGTATACGGTTTCCGAGGAGCAGCTGGTGAGCTTGAACAGCCAACCTTGCAGTTCAAACGGCTTTGCAGTCTGGCCGTTAACCCACAGCGCTACACCCTCTAAAATAAATCCAAAATACAATATGGTCTTCTTCACTTGGGAAAAAAATTCCAAAAGCAGACCTCCCAAATAGATAGGAAAAGCAAAGAAAGAGAAAACTCCCACATATGTGACCATGGAAAAGTCAGTTGAGTAGGAAATTATAGATCATTGAATGGATTATCCCAAAAACCATTTTCAACTCAAATGGAGACAAAGTCTTCCTTTTCCAAGATTATTACAGCATATCAATCTTTTTCCCACTGTGGCATGTGATAACTAGGAATAAATTTAAACAGTTTGTGAAAGGGAAAATAATTTCTACCCAGAATTAGATCTATATGAAAATCAGGTGTCTCTGGGTGGAGCAAAATGTCACTGCATGTCTGCTAACAGAAAGATTGGTGATTCTAATAAAATCAGTGATGTCACAGAAGAAAGTCCTGGAGATCTACGTCTGAAAGATCAGCACCACCAAAAAGCCTGTGGGACACAGTACTACTCTGCAACACATGGGTCTCCATGAATCAGAACTATTACTTGTAAATGTAACAATCAAATTCTGCCAGACTCACTGATATTCACACATAGGCCCCTTAAGGAAAACCTAGCCCATGAACATGCTCAATGTCTTGGTCAAATACCTACTTAGAACAGTGATACAGAAGAATGAAAAGAGATCACCAAAATGTATGGTGCACGTAAGATCGGAACGCAAATAAATGCAAATGAGACATTTCTTCTTTTTTAATGAGCAGATTAATTAACTTTGTGCCCCAGTCATGACTTGGGGTATCTCCAAGTCATGAGCCAACAGAGGATAAGATATTGCTAATTCTGCAATTTTACACTCGAGAACACTCAGGAGCAGAAACAGCCCCAAATTGCTGGCTTGGTCAGTTTCCTTCTATAATAACATAAAAGGCTTGCAGGGTTCGCCCTAAACTTCTAGTGAAGTAATGTTGCTTGCCAGGATGAGATTAGAGAGGAATCTTAGACTAAGGGTGCTTGGTACTTCTGCCAAAAGACCCCAAGGTGGACCTGCATGTTATAGTTTCAGGTTTCATTACAAATCCAAAACCTGGACGAAATCAGCAGCAAATTTTGTCAAAATGTGTAACCTTCTAAAGACAGGATTTCAAACAAGTTTGGCCTGATTTATGCCTTGGTACGGAGGCCACTGAGAAGAAACAGTCCGTGGTATTTAAATTTCCCAATGAAGGCAATCCAAGGGCCTGCTGATTGGGTTGTTGCAGTATACGAGTCAAAATAACACCTAGAAAGTATTATGGATGAAAAAGTGGAAAACCCCTGAAATCGCACGTAGACCAGGCCTTTTTAAATAAGAATGAGTTTTTATCTCCTTATTTCTTTCAGGCTGTTCCTAGTTATCATCAGAACTGTATCTTTCTGGTTCTACCTCCCATTGACAACAATTGGATTCGAACACAGAGCAATCTTATAGGCACAGTAGAACTGCCCATAGGGTTTCCAAGACTGAATTTTTATGAGAACAGACTGCATCATCTTTTTCTCCATGAATAGCTGGTGGAGTCAAACAACAGACCTTTGGATTCGCAGCCTAATATTTAACCCAGTGCACCACCATGGCTCCTTGTTGTGGTAGACTTGTTGTTGTTGGGAAGTACCAAAAAGTCAGTTCTATCTCATAGCAACCCTGTATAGGGTTTCCAAGGAGCAGCTGGTGGGTTTGAACCGCTGATCATGCAGGCAGCCATCCAGTGCTGATCCTACAGTGCCACACCAGGACAGACTCCACATACAGATAGCCCTGGAGTTTGAGCTCCATCATTTGTCAACTGCACAAATTCAGTTGTCTCCAAAATAAATGTCACCCAAACCGTAATATAATGCTCCAAAAAATAGAGTCTTCAGACTCCAGTCTCCTTGCGCTCAAACTCTCACTCTCTTCCCTATTGTTTGTAGGAGAATAAAGCTGCAAGGTCTCTGCTTTTCTACCTGCCAATAGAAAACTGTCCAAGCTCCTGATCATGGTCCAAGGACTGACTCCTCAAGACAAGCCTCCTTTCTGCCTTTCTGGTCCTGTGTCTCCTCCCTTGAGAATCACTTGTGTTTACTAATTCACTTACTCAGCAGACATTCCATTCACCATGGGTAGAAGCATCAGCTATATAGCTCACCCAGACTAATGTCAACCAGGGTTCCGCCTTTTACTCACTGTGTAAACTGGCCCTCTATGACTCAATCATCTCAAGTGTAAAATGGCCATCATGGTAGCAACTAATCCATTAGACCGTTACAATCGATCCATCAAGATAATTCACTTGAATATATGAAATAAGACACAAATCCTGGTGTGGAGCTGTAGGTTCAGCACTGGAGTGTGAACCACAAGTTTGGCAGTTCAAACCCACCATCTGCTCCTCAGGAACCCTATACAGGGTCATTATGAGTTGGAACTGACTTGGAGGCACATAACAACAATATAGTCATGCAAATAACATGCTCATTATTAGGAATCCCTGGTGTCAAAAAAAAAAGTTCCGTGCTCAGATGATAATTGAAAGGTTGACAGTTCAAATGCACCTAGAGGCATCTCAGAAGAAGTCTTAGCAATCAACTTCTGAAAGATCACAACCACTGAAAATCTGGATCAGATGGGGCAACTATAAGTTGCAGTAAACTCAGAGGCAATTGGTTTAATTCTGAAATATTTTCTTAGAGTCCAAAGATGGTGAAAATGTTCAACATTCTCAGCTGCTAGCCAAAAGGGTGTAGGTTATGATCCTTCCAGATAGGTCTCAGAAGAAAGACCTAGGCATGTACCTCAGTATAACAAAAAGAGTTAGTCTTAAATACCTTAGGAAACAGTTCTACTCTGACACACACAGACTCATCATCAGTGCAGTCAACTCAACAGAAACTAGATGGCTGACTGATTATAACACTTGCTTCTTGTTGTTATTGTGTGCCATGGAGTCAATTCCAACTCATAGTGACCATGTATAAGATTTCTGAAAGCTGGTGGTGGGTTTGAAGTGCCAACCTTGAAGTTACCACACCAGTATTTATCCTTCATCTGTTGTTGTTGTTGTTGTTGTTGTTAGGCACCATTGAGTCAGTTCTGCTCATAGCTGCCCAATGCACAATAGAACAAAACACAACCAGGTCCTGCACCATCTCACAATTGTTGTTATGTTTGAGCCCACTGTTGCTGCCACCGTGTCAGTCCATCTCATTGGGGGTCTTCCTCTCTTTTGCTGACCCTCCACTTTAGCAAGTAGAGATGGTCCCTCTTAATAACATGTCCAAAGAATCAGATAAAAAGTCTTGCCATCCTGACTTCTAAGGAACATTCTGGCTTTACTTCTTCCAACACAGATTGGTTTGTTCTTCTAGCAGTCCCTGGTACTTTTAATATTCTTCTCCAACACCATAACTCAAATGCATCCATTCGTCTATGATCTATCTCCCTTATTCATTGTCCAACTCTCATACTGTCTAATATTTAATATAGGGCTTGAGTCAGGCATACGTTAGTCCTTAAATTGACATCTTTGATTTTGAACATTTTAGAGAGGTCTTGTACAGTAGATTTGCCTAATGCAATACGTCACAGGATTTCTTGACTGCTGCTTCCGTGAATGTTGATAGCAGTTCCAAGCATAATGAAGTGTTTGACAATTCCAATATATTCCGTATTGATCATAATGTTATTTGTTGGTCCAGTGGTGAGGATTTTTGTTTTCTTTATATTGAGATGCAACCCAGACTGAAGGTCTTTGATGTTCATCAGTAGTATTTTAAGTACTCTTCGCTTTCAGCAAGAAAAATTGCATCATATACTTATCGCAGGTTGTTAATAAGCCTTCCTCCAACCCTCATATCAGGTTCTACTTCATGTAATTCAGTTTATTGGGTGATTTGCTCAGCATACAGATTGAATAAGCATGGTGAAAGATTACCACCCTGGCACACTTCTTTCCTGATTTTAAGCTATTCAATGTCCTTGTTTAAACCATTCAGTGTCAGCTCAAATGACTATTTCTTAATCTAGGTACAGGTTGCTCAGGAGAACAATTTAAGTGTTCCAGAATACTTATTCTCTG